AGAGGATAGATTTCTGTCGTTCTATAATTATATTATATAAACGACGATATATTGTGGTAGTAGAGGGTATCGGAGGGAGATATAGTGCAGAGCGGGCTAATCGGAATAGCTTATAAAATATTGGATATTCGATAAGGTAGAATAGAAGTCGATTAAGGGTGAGAAATTGGAGAAGATACTCTTCCTATACCGATTGTGAAAAAGGAGCCTCTAGTAAGCCGTGATCCTATATATCTAGGGGTGTTAGGGAAATCAGATAGCTAAATAAAGAGGTAAGGAGATACTACTTTTTGAAGGAACTAGGTAATTTCTCCTTTCCCTCTCTATTGAGCTTTATAACAGCCTACTGTCTTTAAATACTTCAATATTGTTAATATACTATAATAGCCCTTTCCGCTAGGTAATAGAGAATAAGGATACTCTAGGATCTTTAAGCAGCGCTTATATATCACCTTTAGCGCACTATCTTTGGTATAGGCAACTTAGTCGAAGTTGCTCTATATATTTAAATTGCGATTTAAATCCCAGGAAATCTTGCTTTTCTGCCTATAGTCGGTTTATAGCCACTACTTAACCTATTCTTTATATACTATATTGTTATAAAGTATATATACCTTTCTCCGATCGGGGCTAACGCGAGTAAGAGAGTGTAGAATTAGTAGAAGGTTAGAGGGCCGAAGGAAGTCAGTATCAATAGTATTAAAAGGCTTAATTGTAAGCTAGCTACTAGATAGGGTTAGAACTCGAGAGGAGGGTATAAGATAGCTAAGGTTATCTATATCTGTATCGTAAAGAGTAGATAAAAAGCTAGAATACTAGCTTTAGGATATTACGACCGAAAAGAGGAATACTATAGAGGTAAGGGGGAAGGCAGAGAGAGTATATACTTATAAGAGAAGGGTATATAAACAGTAAACACCTTAGTCCTATAGTAAAGTAGATAGATCAAAAGGTATAAGCTATAATATTATTTGATTGGCTATATAAGCTCTATTTAAATAGGTCTAACCTAAGAGAACCTATTTATAACCTATCAAAACCCAAGAGAACCTATTTATAACCTATTAAAACCTCAGAGGACCTATTTATAACCCACTCCCCCAGAAGATCCCTCAAAAATATTTTATTTACCCTCCTAGAAGAACTTTTCTAACCGCGGTTAGAGATAATAATATAAATACCTACCTCCCAGAAGTGATTTTCTGACCGCGGTCAGAAATAATAATATATATACCTACCTCCCAGAAGTGATTTTCCGACTGCGGTCAGAAAATATAATTCGGAGTATATATAATAAGTTAAATATAAGAGAAGAGAAATATAGCTTTAATATAATATCAATTGTATATAAAATCAAATAAGAATAAGATATTTCTATTTACATTTATAGTTATCCTGTAATATATATATACTCCCCTCTACTACAAATATATATTTTCAACAGTCTACAGTCAATAAATACTTAAATTAATAGAACACCACTATACTATAATTAATGTGAATTTTTATCAGTAATCAATATAATACAAAGCCTATTAGCTTCAAATTCAGGGTAATTATATAAATTTTCCAACTTAATATTGTGATAATATAGCAATATTTGATAAACAAACCAGAACAGCTGTAAAAAACAGTAATTTATTTGAATGACTTAGCATTGTTATAAACGCCAAGACCTATCTTTTATATAAAAATGGGTTCAAATAGGTTATTATTGGGTTATTGGGTTTAACCCATTGGGTTTTGGGTTGGGTTGGGTTATAGAGGGCAGAACCTAAAACCCAATGGGTTAGGTTTTGGGTCGGAGACTCCGACCCAAAATGGGTTCTGCCGAAGTCTAATTTTCAGTATATTAACCTCTTTTGAAGTCGATATATCGTATAAGCGGGTAAAAGGTGACTTCAACGAAGTTATTTTCGCTATATTTCTACCTGCCTATAGCAAAAGTAAGTATAAACTAGTTCTTAACTAGTATAATACTAATTCTCTACTAGTTATAACACTCCTCTGTGTCTTTATAGATCAAGAGAACCCAATCGCCTATAAGATAATATTTACCTACGTTTTCTAGCTTCTAGCAGATATATTGGAGACACCGACAAAATTCTATTATCTTTATAATATAGGCTTTTAGGCAATCGTTGTTGATATAGACTATTCACAGATAAAAGGTATATGAATAATCGATAACTATAAACTAGCTATAAACTAATTATAGACTAATATTAGGGCTTGGTTTATACCTTTAGGAGCAAGGCTATACGGAGTATGACTGGAGATAGTATTGTAAAAATATTCTTATATTTTGCTGTGTTTATTTTACACGAACAGTCTCTAGGCTTATTCCTACTCGCTAGGGTGAAAGATTTGTATCTGCGCGTATAAGAATACTTAGTCTTTTAGACTGTGAGACAGAGGATAACTATTTTCAGCTAATTTAGCTGATTATTGGTAAGTGAACTAGTTCTTATTTAGTCTATTACTAGTTCCTTTCTAACTTATTATTAGAATTTAAGCCTTACCTCCGGAATTAGGCAGTCCACAAAAGGCACCCTGTTATTGCAGTAGGGCTTTGTAAGGCTTACTCTCTTATAAAACCCGACTTCTTCGATTAAGTACGTATATCGACAAATACGGTAGAACAATCCTATTATAAGTCCTATTGGATAGGGACTTATACATCGTTACTTAGGGTAATCAATAGGTAAGTTATTGAACTAGTTCTTAACTAGTTATCAGCTAATCCTTCTTAGTTCTAAAGTCCTTGATATTCAGGATTGTGAACAATATAATCTACGGACCAGTTTTAGCGTAATTGGTCAATACCGATCTAATAGAGTTACCACACGGTATTATAACTATCTAGCCCGCGAGCGTAAGTTTTTTCCTTATAGGTTTGAACTAGTTACTTACTAGTTTAATAGTCACAATATCCTAAAAAAAACGCCTAAGAGAGATTGAAACTACGGATAATCTAGATAACGTGATCCTTATTGGGTCAAGTTTATCGGGCTATATTTAACGTGCTGCCACGCCCCCTAGCTCTTAGGTATTGTCTCTAGTTCGGGGTAGAGGTCGGGGTAGAGGTTTAAGATCGTCCTCGCGGAATAGGTAAGTGAACTAGTTCTAAATTAGTCTAATACTAATAATATTTATACAGAGATCTCCGATATACTGCTAGTAACAATCAATATACGTAGGCTCACCCTAGCGGAGGAGTTAGTATTAGTATAGCTAAGCAAGAACGACGATTTCGGGCTGAAACTGAGCGTATAGAGTTAGAAAATAGACAGTTGCGTGTAAGACTTAATTTGGATAAGCTGAATTAGTTTGTATCTAGTTTTTATTTATTTTTCAATTAAGTTTCGTTATATTTAATATATATATATACAGTATAACAATATATATATTTTTGCAAATATATATCTGACTTCGATATATATTTTTATAAGTAGATAACTTCTATTCAACTGTATTTCTAGAGCTCTAAACTAGTAGTTAACTAATATATAACTAGTTCTTCCTATACTATTATTATCTTTACCTATAACTACCTTAAATACTATAGGAGGTAATATTTCAATAAATTCCTAAAATAGAAGTTCAGCTTTACTTGGTATATATTGCTTGGTATAGTATACGTTACTTGGTATGTATTATAAGCCTAAAATTAGTCTTAAACTAGGCTGTAACTAGTTATAGATTCTTTGAAAGAACTATATTTTAGTCGTTTTATATATCAAAGAAATAAACCCCGATAGTAGCCGAATCCCCGAAGGGCTCAAAGAAAGCCCCCCGAAGAGCTCAAAGAAAGCTCAACCCCCGATAGAAGCCGAATCCCTAAGAACTTGGATATATAAACTATATTAATACCTCTGTAAAGGATATTATTCCAGTTCTCTTTTAATTCTAGATCTAGTTCGGTACTAGTTCTAAAATAGCTCTACGATATAAAAGCTACGATGCTTTTATCTAGTACACTAGTCTTGAGAGCAAGGAGAGACTTAATCTCCCCCCTCTTACTGTTCAGGTAGATAGAATAAGCCGTCTACACCTTAGCGAGCTCTTTTACCGCGTTCCTAGATATCCTAAAGTTGTAAGTATACTAAACTAGTTATTTACTAGTTACTAACTAGTACTCCTAGAAACCGTTAAGCAATACTAACAATCTTAGACACCACTACCGCTAGAAATATCGCCCTATAACCCCTGGTATACAACAGCCAAATAAGTTTGAGATTATAGGCGCAGGTGGTACGCCTAGTCTAGCAGAAGATTAAGCTGCAATTAGTAAGTTAACTAGTTATAAACTAGTAAAATAGATCTAACTAACAATCTTACCCTTTAGTATTTTATACTAGGATTCAAAATAGATACCAGGCAGAATATAGTGATGATATCCTAGAGATCCCGCGTAAGCGGGATCAGACAGTAAGTAACTACTATTATACTAGTCTATAATTAGTCTCTAACTAGTTCTCTTAGATCTATCTTACTCGTATACGTACTATTGCGAAGGAGTAAGGTAGTAAGGTACCTTGTGAACCTTGCAAAGATACGAACGATCGAATAGGTTGCTGCTAAGAGCAGAATCGCGATCGTTGCGATAACTTTGAGTATTTTAAGCCGATTAATCCTCGTACTTTTTATATATAAGGAACACAAACCAGTGAACCCGTTAAAGAGATAAGAACTAAGGCAGTAACTGAGGCAATAACCGAGGAAATAACTGAGGAAACAACTGAGGAAGAAACAAGTGAGGAAATAGAGGGTAAGGAGCTATAAAGTGTTGCTTTAAACTAGTTCTATACTAGTTATCACAGGCTAAATATACGGGTTAAAGTGTGTTTGATAGTGTTTGTGAATTAGTTCAGAACTATTTCTAGTGTTATTTTAGAGTCTTATAGACTTTTTATTGTGATAAAGTAGTATTTATTTCGTTAGGCTTATAAATTAGGGCGAGAACTAGTTTAAGACTAGTTACTAGAGGGCGTTTTTAACTACTCCGCAGTGTCACTATCTCCACTATAACTACTGCCTTCCTCAATATCTTCCTCAGGTTTATTATCAGAAAAATACTCAAAGTAATCACACTTATACTGACGAGTATAAGTACAGCAAGCTAAGTTAATAATGAATTAGTTATAAACTAGTTTAAGTAGGTCAAAACTAAGGGAAACTTACCTTTCGAAGCGGAATCAGCTTTGTATAATATATAGGCACCAGTATAACCTATCTCACGGAGTTTCACACGCATTTCGGTTGTATTCACCTATTTGAGGTTAGGAACTAGTTTAGGACTAGTTTTGATAGATACTTACTTCACTATTTCGCTTTAAGGGAAGGATAGGTCGGTGTTCAGTTTCCCCAGTATAAATTTGCTCAAACCGAATCTGTATAACCTTATAGAAGTTGTCTGAATTAGTTAGTAATTAGTTTAGACAAAAATATAAAGCTCACCGCACTTACTATTTACCTCCCGAAGTAAAGCCAGTGAGGGGGAACCACCAGCACTCCGCGCTATAGTATCAGTACCAGTAACTATATACTTCTTATTGATATAGTGTTTAAGCTTATTCGTGTCACCGAAGGTAGTCTAATAGAAACTAGAATTAGTTCTGAACTAGTTCAGAAGGCCCTATATCTCTCAGATAGAACTCACAGGGTGCAAACAACCCGGGTAACGGCACTACCTCTCACTAGGATAGACAACCCATTCGTTACTAGCCTATAGCTATATCAATTAGTGATTTGATCGCAGAGAACTAGTCCAGAACTAGTTAAGCCACTCACATTACGTATTATATCAGTCCACGCGCCCTTAGCAGTCCTCTTAGACTGTGTAAGGTACCACTTATAAGCAGGCTGCCTACAAGGGAAATTCATCAGTTTTTAACCCCTTTTTATCTAATTCTATCAAGAGGTATCACTTATATAAGATCTGAGCGTAGATATATTGAAAACCAGGCAGAAATGAGGCGGTGTCAATATATAAACTGGGTATGAACTAGTAAAGGAAGCGGTGAGGGTAATGTTTTGAAAGGGTATTAAAAATCCAGAGCTCAGTTCACCAGGCGTCATATAACAAACAAAGTCACGTGACATTATTAGTCATCTGGTGAACTGAGCTCTCAGGTCATCGATGAACCGAGCTGTAGTCACAATATACACTCTCAGTACGAGAGGTAGCTATCTTATCTAAATAGAGGTATTTCGCAGTGTAAATATAAAGAAAGTACTTAGGGTAGTTATCTAGCTATTCACTCTAGATATACTCGATTAAAGGCTAGAAGATCGGATCAGAATACCGCTCTTTAAAGTATACCTACTAGCGCTTATATTCTTTAACAGTAATAGTATAAACGACCCGATTCCAGCGCTTTAATATTTTCTTCTAGCCTTCCTCGACTTTCTTACGGTCTTCTCGGAGCTGTATAGCAGTACGACGTTAGGATTGAGAGGATATAAGGGTATTACGTTGTACCTAGGTAAGCTGATTAGCGAGAAGTAGATAGGTATATTTTATAATATTTATATTAATATACTAAATATATCTTATATACTTAGTATTCGGAAGGACAGTCTTAATAGTATTTATTAATACTTTCTCTTTATCAGTTAGAATCGTACACACAGGATTAAGACTAAGGGACTTATAGACTTCTATAAGGTACTTAAGTATAACTTCGTATAAATTATCCTTCTTATCTCGTATAAATACAAAGGTAAGGTAAAAGGTTTAGCCTATTGCTGCGAAGCCGACGATATTAAATAAGGGTAAACAATATCGATTTATTTTATAGGTATAGTCTATCGAAATAACCTAAGGGTTTATTTTAAGTATCTTAACGCTTATCTTATATATATAGAATAAAGCAGTGATATAGTTTTTATTATCGAGCTTATACTTAAATATCTAGGAACTATCCTTCGGTAGTTCTTTAAGCAGCGCCTAAAGCGGTGTATAACCAGTAAGAAACCTTATATTTAACTTTATCTAGGTATTGTAGATATCACGAGAGATAAGGGAGCTTTTAGGGTCAGCCTTATATATTTCAGTAAGGATTTAACGGGTTATATATCCTTATTTAAGTGTATTCTCTACCTTATCCTTCTTCCGAGAAAGTTCGAGAGCCCGCTAAGTAGTATAGGTTAATATTAGCGAGGGGGGATAATTATATATAGGATTCTTAACAGTAAGATACTAAATATTAGTTTAAAGATTAAGCCTAAGGGTAACAGAAAAGGGGTATTCGCACGCAATAGTTATAGTATTCTATCGCTTTTTAGGAGAGCGATCCTATATTACCTTCCGGCCACGGTTATAAATAATACGAATTATCTTTTTAACCCTATATTTTATAAATTTCGACCGATAGCTTATTACTGTATAGCTAGCTATACAGTCCGGCGAAGGTATTAAGAATATCTATCCCTTCCTCTAGTATACTATACGTCCGATTACTCGGTGGAAGCGGGAACGTAAAGCTTAGGATCGGCTCGGCGGGAGGGGACTCGGTACTTAGTAGTATAGTGCTAGGTAGAGTCTCGCTGATTGGTGCAGTGCCTAGTGGAGACTCGGGGATAATCTCTAGCTCGGATTCCGAGTCGGAAATTAGGTAATCGAGGCCTAAAGAGGCTATAGTAATAATACTTTTTAATAAATTAATAACAGATTTAATAGATTTGAAGCTGTTGATAATAAAGAGATTGATAGAGTCTAATAGGTGTAAACTGGAATTGGAGTATTGATTTGTTTGATCTAATCTATATAACAAAAGTGACTTGATTTTGTATAGGGTTTATATACAAATTGTAGGTACCTTCTGTCTACTACTATTGTGGAAGGAGTGTACCAGGTAGGCGGTGTATAAGATTAGAAAGCGGTGTAGAGAGCGGTAAGCTATACCCTGAAATTTCAGGTAAGGGGGGGGGTCCTATTAGCTAAAGGGGGGTCCTATTAGCCAAGGGGGGGGTCGTATTAGCCATAGGGGGGGGGTCCCTGTATCAATCCCCTATATTGATACAATCACTCTTTAGATAAAAGATTAAGTCTCTAAAGCTCTGATTAAGTACACTAAATAACAGCGTTTACTAAGACAGAGATTGTCTACCTTTTTCCGCTACAATAGTAGAACAGAATTCTTTATTTTTAAGAAATAGGGTAAAAGTGAAGGTATAGTTATAGAGATTTCTCCGCTGTACACTCCCTAGGTAAATAGAAGATTAGAGAGAATAGGTGGTATAATCAATAAGATATAAAGGACAATAGGTCTAGACGCTAAGCTTCCGGATAAACTATAGCCTCTCCGAGTAGAAACAGCAGCCTATATCTATAATAGATTAGTGAATCTATACACTGGACTGATTCCGATTACTGAGTTTCGGAAGGGATAGGATCCACTTTACGATATAATAGAGCCTATTGATCTCTCTTTTCTTCGCGCTTAGGGTAAAACAGCTTTTATATATATTCTAGAGGAAAGACAAATTAAATCCTAGAAATCGGAACTATAAGTAACTAAGTGCTACCTTATCGGTTACGAAGGAGACACTAGCTATATCTACTAGGTAGAGGACCTAGAGATAAATAGGATTTATCGATCGAGAGATATTACTTTTCCTTTTACAGATTATAGAGATAATAATCTAAAGGGGGATACTCCGAGAATAAAACCGAAACCTAAGGATCTAGATTCCGATAATTAGGGTGTAGAAGCTATAGTTTTTAATACTTTTAAAGAAAAGAAGCGTTATCCTTTTAGGATACTATAACCCCGACCTAGGATATAGGAGATTAAAACTGATTCCGACTTAGAAGAGGAAGTAATCTAGAAGAAGCTCCCGGAATAGACTTCGATCGGTCCGGATACTCTAGGAACAGTATAGACCCTTAACCCGACTCTATAGGTTCCGAAAAGGCACTTCACTATTTAGACTAGTTCTCCTTTAAGATAACTAATTTTCTAGCCTTATTAGTTAAATATCGAGGTAGTTATTCTAAAGAGACCGGTCCTAAATAGCTAACTAACTAGATCTTAGATAGCTAGTTCTCTTAAAGAATTAACTAAAGATCTTAGAGAGAGAGTTAAAGTAAATAGGAAGCTTTATAAATAAGTTTATAGACCGAATCCGGTAAATCCTCCGGAGATATATCTATAATATAAATAATCGAAAATCAATCCTTTACCGAAAATTCTACCTTAGCCTAGGAAAAGATAACAGGAGATATAGGTTCTTTCTCTAATTCTTAAGGACCCTCCTAATATCCTAATCCCTTCTATTGAACGGTTAGAGATACCTGATTTTAAAATTATTAGGGTTTCTAAGACCCTATAACTATACCTTTTAAGGGATAGTCTTTCTCTTTTATTAAGGATAAATTAAAAGTGGAGTATTTCTTTACCCTAACCTAAGGGAGACTAACAGATTCTTTAGTAAGAAAAGTGTTGAGGGCGGTCACATGCATGTGACAGCCCCACTCTCCTAGCTGTAGTTATCCTCTCATTTTTCTAGATAGTTTCTTTTCTTCTCTTCTCTCTTAACGCGAATAAGAGTTTTCCAGTTACACCTACATCTTCATTGTAGACACTGCTACTCTTCTCAGGTTATGAGCCTCGTGCTTTCGAGTCATTTTTTACTTAACAGTACGGACTCGAAACCCTGGTTTTCCTACCATTGGTGTACCGCGTCACACCACCCCACTGTGGAACCTCTGTGGTCTCGTTTTTCGACCCACAAAAACAGAGTTTTCATCTCTTGATTGGACAAGATTAACACCTTGTTCTTTACAAGGTTAGGAACTAACCTATTGAAGGTGAACCCTACCCTGTTTCTTTTTCTGCTGTCTCTTTCTGTCGCGTCTCGACAAGAAAGACATCACGATACTCAATACTTCCGGAAAATTCGGACCATCGAATCACCTTTTTTTTCCTCCATATAACCCTGTGCAGCAAGGACAATAGAGGCTTCATACAACATCGAGGACTTTGTCCTCAATACAAATAAGATTGATATCTCGGCGGCAGTCCCCAAGTTGAAGGGACAGTCGAACTTTAGAGATTGGGAAACTGCTCTCTATTTAGCTCTTACAGCTAACAATCGTTATTACACACACATAATCTCTCGGGGTATTCCAGTCCCAGAGGCCCCTGTGTATCAGGATAACTCTTCCGAAGTTGTCCGTGAGATTCTCATTGAAGAAGCTAAAGAACTCGCCGGCGATAAGACTACTACGGTAACTATTTCTGCTGCCGATGTTCGTGCTCGAGTGAAGGAGATTGTCGAATCCAATATCGCACTCCGGAAAGAATATAACTCCAAATGTACGAATTGGGAGTTATACAATTCACGAGCCAGTATAATACTTAGGAGCACTCTTAGTCCTGAACCCTTTACCCATATCTCTCAACTTACGGATATTCGAGAGACTTTCAAGAAGCTTCGATCAATATACGCAGCTTTATCACACCAATATTCATTTGCTCGCTATATCAAGTGGACTGATCTACGCTTCAAGAGCGGAACTGCCACTGAATTTGTACGTAAGTTTTAGGAGACACTACGTGATCTTACTGCAGTCAATAGTAAAATAAACGCAGTGTATATATTATACCAGTTCAAGAAAGCTATTAACGAAAATTCGAAATATCACGCCTTCCTTCAGAACCTCAGAGTGGATAAGAAGGATGCCAATCTTATGGATCAAGTCTACGCCGAGTTTCTCGAAGTCGATATTCATAATCGGACTGTGAATCCTTCCTACAATACCTCTGCGAATTCGACAATATCACATTCTGTATCTTTATATAACAAGAAGAAGGATTCGAAGAAGAATAACAAGCAGTCCAACAATTCGAATCAGAGCAATAGTAAGGACAAATCCT